CTCTCGCTCTGGGGGTGCACCCAGCACACGGGGGGGTTCTGGGCTCCAGCACACACTGAAGCCAGGTCATGGGGAGCTTCTCCTCACCCAACACCCCCAAGTCCTTCTCCTCAGGGCTGCTCTGAACCATTCCCTGATGCAGTTTGCCCTGTGCCTGCCTGTCTCCCAAGGACCATCCCTGCCCTCCACCAGCAAGCGTGGTGGCTAAAAGAGAGCCCTTGAACACCCAGGGTAGCAAAGTGATTCCCGCTGAGGGGGGACCTACCAGGCAAGCCAAGACATCCGCTGCTATCAGCATGTAGAACACGTTATTCCAGCCCGTGGGGGAGATGAGCCCTGCGAGCAGTGGTCCTAGTGCAGCACCTGCAAGGGCACATGAGCCATGTTAGATGTCCTGTGCATGGGAGAGGGGACCAGGGCCCCCTCAGCACCACAGCACTGAGGGGGAAATTGGTGCACAGCACCCCCCAGCCATACACACCTATGGATCCTGTGCCATCAATGATGGCTGTGACAGTAGAAAGGGCTTTGGCGTTGCCTTTGAGAGACTCATGGGTTCCCTGTTGGGTTGGAGAAGTAAAACATCAGGAGAAAAAGCATCTTCAGGGTCTGCAGCCAGCGAGTCCTAGTGTGAGGTTGTTCACAGCCCAGGCAGTGATCTCCATGTATCAGACCCAGCCATGGATGGGAAGACCAAACTCAGATGCTGCCTGCAGCCAAACCATGGCAAAACCTGGATCCCCAACAGCGGGCAGCAATCCCAGGTGGTTTCACAGCACGTTTTCCCAGTGACAGTGAGAGATGGAGAGGGAGATGCAGCGAGGCCAAAGCAGAATCAAACGGCCGTGGTGAAAGAGCAGTAGGAAACCGGCCGTGTTTCAGAGGTGGGTGCCCTCCACTGCGCTTAGCTTTGCAAAACAAAGCTGAAATGCAGAAATCCCAGCAAACATCCCCCTGGGAAAGAGGGAGCAGCTTTTGAGGGGTCTGAGATGTGCCTCTTACCAAGTCTGCTGACACAGCCGTGGTGATGAGAGCGTAGGGCCCGTTAACCAGTGCGCCGCAGACAATCAGCATCGCTGCGAGGAATGGGAAGAGATCAGACCTGTCAGTGCAGGGAGCAGCAGGACGCTGGGCCCCATGCACCCATCCTGCATATCTCCGTGTTCCCACCCAGCACCACCCTCCCTAAATCCCAGACCAAGAGCCCAGGTCAAGAGGAGAAATGAAGGCAGGTGATTCCACAGCATCTCCCATCCCTTTGTGGGATGCACCGAGGAGCATCTTACCTATGGATGTGCCAATGCCATTCTGGCCAACATGGTTATACAGGAACAGCTGGAAAAGAGCCATGAGATGAACCAGTTACAGCTATTCCAGCTGTTTTCCATGCAGCAGCACCCCAGGGATAGGACAGAGAAGGCGGGGACCTGAATTACCACTGGTGTCAAGCTTTACAGACCCCAGCTCTCCACGAGGACAACACCAGCCAGGATTAGGGAGCCAAGCGCACCCTTGGCTCTGTGTCCTGCTGTCTGCCTGCCAGATGGAATTCCTGGCTGCTGGCAAACCGAGGTGTTGCCACGATTTATGGCCCAAGGAGACTCGTGCACGTCCATGCTGGCTGAAGCCAGGCAGTGAGTTACTGTGGACGCTGATGGGATGCAGCCTCTCAGCTTTTCAGTGGGGAGAGGGTCAGAACCCAGAGCCAGCCAGGCTTGGATTACAGCTAATTAGCCTCGGGTTTGTGGCAGCAAAGCCTAAAGAACTCCATGCAGGTGCTTGGGAAGGACATCCGGGCATGCAGCTGGCGGCATGGAGGCTTCTGGGATGCAAAGCAAAGAGGCAAAAGCTGGACAGACTCAGTGGGACCCCCAAAGTCTTTAAACCAGAGCAGGGTTATGGCAGGGTAGAGGAAAAACAGAACCCCAGAGGGGTTGTTTTAGCTGTCAAGGGCTCTGCAATCCCCTCCCAGCCCCCAGTCATGGAACATCTGGGCATGTGAATCTATCCCAGCTCTTATCTCATCTGAGCGCATGACCAGCTTATCCCGGGCTTGGGAAGAGGAGCACAAGAGGAACAGGCCGTGGCTCAGAGGAGCCCCTCGTGACTGGGTTTTAACCCCGCGTGACAGCGCACCACGGGAGCGGCGAGGATCAGCATCGCGCAGCACGTGGTGGCTCTGCCGCCTGTGTAGTCAGAGATGAGGCCAGCGAAGATCCCCCCTGCGAGGAGGAGTCACATGTGTCAGTCACAGTACCCCAGCAGCAAAGCTTCACCCAAAATTCATCGGGATGCTGCACCGCGATGCTCCTGCATCCCCCAGCTTCTTGATGTCCCCAAGGTTACATAGAATAATAAATATCAAAAGTGAAAAGCTTTGATTTATCCCTGTGTCTTTCTCCCTGCAGATGGTTTCCCTAC